TGTGCTAAGTACACCAAAGAATCCAGTAGCCTGTAGAGCCACCTGTAGCAGCAGTAACGTGAAGTGTTTGTTTTCTGTTTGACTTTATCAGTCTCTCTAATCTCCGTGGAGGAATTTCGACCCACTCTGCTCTACAATGTTCCTTCTGTTTGTTGATGTTTCCAGAGATTCATTTTTGCACAACTCTCTTGAGGTCCAGCCACAGCATTTCAGGTGGATAAACAGCTGGGTTTTGACTATTGCAACACCTTGATTCTTTTCTTTTTCAGGCATTCTGGTAGAGTTCCTGCTGTGCGTGGGATCATCATCCTGTTGCATGACCCAGTTTCAGCCAAATTTTAGCTGTTGGACTCACATTTGACTCTAGAGTACTTTGGTATACAGAGTAGTTCATGGTTGACTCAACGACTGCAAAGTGTCCTATGCCTGCAAAACAAGCCCCAATTATCACCCTGGCACCACCGTGCTGACAGTTGGTATGAGGTGTTTGTGCTCATATGAAGGTCGTCCATAAGTTCAGTACGGAATATCTGTAATCATTCATCTGCCTCCTTTTCTGAGTGTTTGGCCGCTTCTGGTCTGTACTTCATAACCACTTTCTCACATTGCCAAACTCATTTCTGTTATCATTACTCGATTCCAATCATCTTCCGGCCCGCCTTCTTTGACCCAATCAGCTTCCAATCTGCATGTTTTAAATCTGTGCTCTCCATCATTCTCCCTTTCCGATTCTCATTCATGCATTCATACCTCCTCCCCATCTCCACCTCAGGCTCTGGGGAGTCCTGTCCTAAATCCTGTCACCTCTGGGAATCCATCCTGCCATGATGGGTCATTGAAGTCTAACTGCCAAATAAATTAATTTCTCTATCTCAATAAATCATGTTTGGTTCTTCCAAATGATCTCTCCTCTTTGAAATGCTATGGTGACCTGCTGGTATGCTTTGGTTTTTGTCAAACAGCACTCATTATGGCCAGACATCTTCACTTTGATCTCATATGCCCAAAGGACACAAAGGACACAGCATGTCCAAGTCTTGTGATTTGAATCCTTCTAAACTCTAAACAAGTCATACTTGTTCAGTCTTTTTCTAATTGTAGCGCCGTAAACTTTAACATGTAGCATGCTAACCGAGACCTGTAGAGTCTAAGATGCAATCTGAAATTTCTTTTGAAATTTCTCTGAGGATTGCACAGTCTGACCAATAGAATTAATTTGCTGAGGGATTCGATTTTAGGATGACTGTGGCAGCAAACTGTCCAAGTTTCTGCTTTTATGGAGGTTCTCATGCTTGCTGATAATCAGTTAATCAAGTGCATTTGATTAGTAGCACCTGGCTGCTACTTAGCCTTACTTAATCTTTCAATGGACTCCACAGACTCTTCTGAAAACGTGATTTTTTTATGTCAACAGTATGTTTTAATAAATTTACAGTTTGGTTGTTTAGGCTACACAGTGCATCATCTTTCATGTGCAGTTCAGTTTACAAGTATAACATTTACCTTTGAGATATATATATCTCACTGGTCTGATGAATATATTTTTTAAATTTACCAGTGGTGTATTTTTCAAAGCTTCTTTTTATTTGACTAGTGAAAAATTATTATCTCAAGTCTTTTGGTTGCTGGTACTTAAGTATTTTAAAGTTTCCTTCCACTCATGCAGACTTGAATGTCTTGAACACACTTCAGAAAGTGGGCAAGAGGCATCTGGCACACAGATTTCACTGCTGCCTGGAGCATGTGATGACAGCCACTGGCGAGGGCTTAACAGAGGAACCGAGTACCACATACTGTCATGTTGCCAAGCACAGTAGATATGGCAGTGGAGAGGAGATAGTAAAGGCCATGTACCAACACGTAATTACCTAAATTTAACAACCTGGAATGATTTGGAAAAATTGGGGAATCCATATGTGCGCTGTACTTGAAGGTGATTTTCTAATAACAGGTACAACTTTTGCTTACGTCTGTACTCAATGAGTAAGATCTGAAACACGGCATTCCTGGAAAAGGTAACATTTTCCCCAGGAGATACATGTTAACTAAAAGATCCCTGAGCACATGACTAGGAAGAGGTGGGGGAGCCTGGAAATTCTCTGGTTTCCTGTGCCAAAATCCATTCCGCTTGTTTTGCTTTTGAACTTTGCTGACTCACCTCACCATGTCATCAGCTTCTCTCTAGGGCTCTGCAGAGTAAGGAAAAAGTGGACCACGGACAGACCCGTGTGAATGAACAGGGAGGGAAAGGAACAAAGGAATGGCTTCATTTCCGTCTACTCTCGGCTTCCCTTTGACCTCTGCCTCCTGAACATTACATCACCTGAAGTCAGGGATCGTCAGGAAGCTAAAACAATGGCAGGGAAACTGCCAACACACCCTACTATCTTCACTTTTTGTCCCAAACACTTTATGAATTGCGATACATTTGGGGTAATGCTCTGACTTGGTAAATTTGAACTGAGGAATTATAAATGGTTGTAACATCCAAACATCCAGTTTATATAAGAATACAACAAAACCCACATTTAAAGGTTCATAATGCAAACAAAGTCTGAAACTGAGGAGCACGTATCCCAAAACGTTGATACGGACGTAACATTTTGAGTGGGGGAAAAATTTCATCACTCATCAAAATAAATTCTTCAGTCTCTGAGGAGTGCATACATTACATCATTTGTAACTATAACCTTATTTTGTGGCTTTACTAGAAAAAATAGGAGATTACCACCAAGTTTCCTCGACTTATTTGTAATGACTACATATGATCTCACTGTAACACAGTCAAATGTAACAGAATCTATGTGAGAACTAGCACAAAAATGGCTACAGTAAGCGCCTTTGTTTTACTTTAAAGCACTACAGCTTGTTAAATTACTCCCATGTAAACAATATATCTATTTTACTGTTCATAATTCAAAGTATGGTTTAGTTGTATTTCAAGGCTGCTGATAATTTATAGTGACTGCCTCTCTCAGCCCCATGGACAACTTTTCCCCGTATAAACACACTGCATACATCAGGGAGCACATTACGCAGATCAGAGCGCTGCTATTTGGTGTCATATTCATGAACTTAGTGCATTTTTTATGACTTTACAGGAAAGCGTTCATCCTTTAAGCGAAACATCAAAGACCAATGGAGAGGAAACACATCAAAGGGGCTGACCCTTGGCCTCGAAACGCTCCGACCGCATTCCACACAATTACAGACACCAGAGAATGCCTGCAAAGGAAGCCCTACCCATTTATTGTGGGGATTTGTCATCTGAGCGCAGTGAAATATGTTTACATCGCCATTAAAAGTTGATACTACACCAGCTGGCAACAACAACCAAAACCTGTCACGATCTGAGGCTGAGCTTTTAATTTCATCCTTATCTATTTGGGAAAGCAAACTCCACACAAAGAAGTAAATATGCATGATTTAAAAAAGTTAAAGCAGGTATAGCTTTTTGCTGCCATCTAGAGGAAATGTGGCTTTTATGTTGCAGATGTCTTGAGTTTAGATTTTTTTTTTTTTTTTTTATAGAAATGGGAGAAAAAAATTAAGGGGGAAAAAAAAGAAGTTTGATTTTCACCGGCAGCCTCAAAGCACGGCCAGACAGAAATTCAAGAAGGTGACGAGGAAAACTAAATATAAGCCAGAATCTGGAGATGCCAGGGTTACGCTTACAGCTGTTTCACAAGTACAGGGATCACTGACCCCACATTCAAAAGTCACCATTTGGTTGAATGCAATCTGCACTTCACTTAATATTTTCTGAATAGTTAGCAACTTAAAGGATTTCTTGCGAACATGTATAAAATCAATTCAATCTTGTCTACTTCCTCTTCAGCTAAAAATAAAAATTGCTGTTAGCTTTCTAAAGTTCACAGAAATAGCTTGACATTTTAGTTTTACTTGTTTTCTTAGAAAAGAGAAGCACGACCGGTTCTGTGTCCACAGACACCAAAAAAATTATGTTTTTACTGTAGTACAAAACACAAGATGTTTCCTATTTCACAGACGCCAACAAGTCTCAAGTTACCACATTACACTCATGTAAGCCATGTAAGAATCATGACTGGCTACCAGAATACTAAAGTAACAAAATCTTCCTTGTAGTGTAGTGTGAAAAAAATTGTTGTCAGGCCTCATTTCTTCATATTTTACATCAATGGACCAGACATTTCTGTATTTTTTTTTTTCACGTGGTCTAGAGGAACAGCTCTCCAGGTTTTTCTGTAGGTCATTCAACTTCATCTATAAGATACAGTAGAGGCTTTGTCATGATTTTTTGCTTCATTTAAGCCAGTTGTGTTGGGGATCTTCGTCAAAACTGATGGAAGTGAATACATATGATTTTGATCCACCATGCAAAATAATATGGAAAGCATTTGATTGACAAAGGCTTCATTTCTCAGGATGACAATGACCTGCCATAACACCTGGAAAGTAAAACATATATTGGAAGTCTCAACCATGGATTGGACCTCAACATTAATGAAGCAGTGTGGGATCATAACAGAGAACAAAAGGGAGCCAAAAACCAAAACTCTGAAAGTCCTTCAATAAACCTGGAGAACTATTCCTGAAGAATAAAGCTTGAATGCAAAAGTTTAGGCCGTGTGGAAAAATAAAAGTAGTTGTAACAAATCTTGATTTTCAAGCTTGTTAGAACTGTGGAAAAACCGTTTTTGACCTCGTATGTTGTGTTTCCATCTACGTCTGCAAATTTCAATAAATCACTGCACCGATTTCCCATTTTCCCAGCAAAATACAAAGAAAGGAAGGGTGACTAAAGACTTTTTGCACACTAGTGTAAATCCAGGACCTAAACTCAGATGTAAGGGGAAGAACTTCACTTCCTAATATGATAAATGAGAACACTGTCTTCCGGTGTCTAACTTTTTATTCTGCACTGTAAGGTCAAACATCCCAGTGCAGTAATAATAAACAAGATGAACTGCACCAGAAAGCTTCAGTCAATATGAAAAATAACACAAAAAAAGAGAAGATTTGAGTGATTTTGCTCAATAAACCATTTATTCAAGTATTTTCAACTAAGAAATCTGATGTTATTTACAGTACATTATGTTCACTAGTGCAGGTCTGAGCGCCAATAACTGAGACTAACTCAGACGTGACAATACAGAACATAAATATATACAAATTCCACAATCCCTCATCATTCCCACCCTGCAAATACATCTTGCATTTGTAGTTCACACACGAACCCAAAACTAGCACATGTACAAAGACACATACAGAGTCTACATCTCACAGAAGGCATGAACCATTAAACCCTTTTCACGTCACAGATGTTTTGCCCTGCAAAATTAAAAAAACAAAAACAAAAAAAAACTCAACAGGAGAAACACGAATTCATCCGAAGTATTCTCCAAGTCTGCATACATATCAGCTGGGTAGTGGAAACACAACTTGTACCATCACTATTTTTGTGAATGTCAAAATAAAGACTTGTTGAATTCAAATGTATAACATTTAATTCAATATATCATTTTTCATGTGACAGTTTGAATTTTCCTTTTTCCTCTGCAAGCCCCATTCGCCAGTTCTTGACTGCAGCTCTCGGGACTTGAATGATGCTCAGCAAAGAGGATCTGTGGCTGCACGTCATTGTAGACCGGTCACTGTGCAACGTGTCACACCTCACAGAGGACGATGGGGAAATCGACATGAATACACGGGTGGTCGAGCTTCACAATTCCCTGGAAAAAAGAAAAAGAAAAAGGAGGAGGAGTGATGGCACTGACCCTATATCGCCCTGCCACTGCAAAAGCGTGTTCCTAGCTCACCTGTGGAATTAGATTTTTCTGGATCCTCTTCAACTTGGACTTCTTTCTGCCATTTTTTGTCACGACCGTCTCCTCATAGAATTCATGGGCGAGGTCACCGTCCTCATCATAATACAAAGAACTGCCAACACAGAAGGTGGACAATTGTGTCAGGATTAACAGAGGAGGTGTAGGCGTTACTTGCTGATAGTCGCATCTAAAACGGTTGTCAAGTTTAAAAAAAACAAAAAAAAAAAACAACAAACAAACCCCCCACCCACCCACCCAAATTTCTCACTCCCCTCCAACGTTTGAGCCTCATGTATTTATTAATGTGCCTTTTTGGTTTGTCTGGGTTTTTAAATGTGACAAAAATTATTTACTGGATTATTTTGACATTAATGCTTAACCCCACTAGGAATAAAATTATTGGCTTTGAAATCAAGAATAATCTAGAAACCTTAGTGTGGACAGTTTAAAGTGGGACAATATTTCAGTAATAAAGTAAAGTGTGGCCTATAAAACTGTCAATGCACAAATGCCACTCTGGCACAAAAAATATGCTACTAGGTAGTACTAGGCATTTGAATGGGTGAGTAGATAAGGGTCATTCTACAAATGGAGGACAAAACAGGCTTTAAAAATTATATAAAAATGTAATTTCTTTTTTAATATCATCCTTTATTTTATAGTTTTCTGGTATGTATTTAAAAATAACAAATAGTAAACCATCAGCTGATCAGATCTGCCCAGGCACCAAAGATCCACTTTTTGAGCTATTTTAGTTCCTGTGTACTTTGTCATCAAGTACAAAAAAAGAATTTAATACTCAAGAATTTATTAAAGATAGTGACTATTCATTCAACTTCATATAAGACCCAACTTATATTAATTTAAGCAACTTTCAGAATCTGCTTTGCCCAACTTTTCAGTTTAAAGTCATTTTAGTATTTATTTTCAAATCTTCCTCTCAAATAAACCTCTCATACAGTTATTCAAACTATTACAAAGTCAATAGATTAAACCCTTGTGAGCAAAGAACATCATCTAGGATTAGATGATATAAAAAGAATATGGTAACTTGAATGAATGTGACAAGAACCACAGAAATGCGGTTTAATATTTTTTTAGGTTTGTAACGTGTTTCTGTTATATGCATGCTAACTCCATGCAAGTAAATATAGTTTGAGTGATTTGAAGTGGTGTGACCTGAATCCAATTGAGATGCTGTGGTATGACCATAAAAAGGTGGTTCATGCTTGAAAACCCTCCAATGTGGGTGATTTCTGCAAAGATGAGTGGGCCATAATTTCTCCACTGCGCTGTAAAAGACTTTTTGCCAGGTATCACAAATGCTTGATTGCAGTCTGTTGCTGCTAAGGGTGGCCCAACAAGTGATTAGATTTAGGGAGTAATCACTTTTTCACACAGGCCCATGCAGGTTTGGATTTTTTCCCCCTTAATAATTAAAACTTTATTTAGAAAGTGCATTTTGTGCTTACTTGTGTTATCTTTGTCTAATATTTACATTTGCTTGATGATCTGAAAGTTTTAGGTGTGTCAAACACACAAAATAGAAAATCAGGAAGTGGACAAACACTTTTTCAGACCACTGTATATAAATAAAAGAATGAAAGGAAGCTTTCAAATTATTTTTTTCTACTTTGCTAATACGGGTAAAAGGGTTGCAGTTAAAATGACACACTCGATCTAATCAAAATAGATCGGAAAACACACCCCTAGTGTTAGCACATGACTCAGTTATGTCCCTTCCTCTTTGTCATGGCACTGTTGTGTTATGCTAAATAGGTTTCGGTAACAGAGTTGCAAATATTGCAGTGCATAATTACTATTCTTTGATTTAGGGCTCTGTGATACAATGAAATATGTGAGATGACAATATTAAAACATTTATCATTTTCATATTATACCCTATTGTTTATTGCTTTTACTACAGAATTTTTTCGCTGCCTTAAATGATGGTTTGCAATAGTCACCATGACATCCCAGAAGGACCAGCCAAAACAAATTGCAGAGCTCATTCCTAAATGTGGGGGTTAACTCTGTAAAATGGACATGGTTTGGTAATGAAAAGTCTGATGTGGACCACCGGTGCCCACCACAGGCAACACACAACAAAACTTTTCTACACAGCACAAAGAGAATTTACAAATGGGAAACAAAAAAGAGCCATCAAGTGTTAATAAACCTCAGACTGAAATGTTGGAACAAGTTCTTGCCTGTGGTACACCACATAATAAAGACTCACAAAGATAATGGCAGTCATTTCAACTTATATCTAGAAATAGATTTTGTGCATTGGTCAAAACACTCGACTTAAGGTATACAATCCCCAACCAAAAGCAGTTAGCACAAGTCGGTTTATCTCATTTATATTACAAGTGTCGAGCCAAAGTATTGGAGGAAATCCACGACGTAACATATTATGCTGCAACAACAGATATGTGAACAATTCGAACAACACATCGGTGTATGAGCTTAACATTGCACTTCATCCAAAACTGAACAATCTGCAGTCGATATTTTCAGACAGGCTATTATCCTGACAACAGGATACAACCATACAGGAGCAGTAATGATAGTCAGAGGCTTTGGGGAAGCACTTGAGTCATGGGGAATGCGTAGGGTCATCTAGTATGTGTCACTATGGGTAACTCCACACAAGGTCCATAATTATTTCACTTTTGATTATTTAAGTTAAATGTACAAAAGAAATCGGCGCCAGTTTAACTCAGTGTTTGGAGCGGCCAAGAGCAGTCTCTCTCTGCCCCTGCTTTCCTGTCCTTTCTTCACTGTCTCTCTCAAATAAAGCTGAAAAAGGTCAAAACAACTGTTTTTAAAAATTTACAAAAGAAATAGTACTTTCCGCGTGGTGATTATATAAACCTTTCACAGAATTTACAATAAATGCACTATATTGATTTATATTGTTATCAGGATAAGAAATGACTTAGTGGGATATGACAGTTTAAGACATGTCAACAAAATCAAAACAAAAAAATTAATTAAAGATGACCTTTAATATTTGGCATGCAATTTGCTTATTAAGAACTTAGGACAAGAGCAAAATGCCATTTTGGCAGTATTCCTCAAGAGCTGTTTTTGTAATTTAAATAATATTTTGGAACTGCTAACTAGGCTTGCATTTTGTCTCAGGGCGAGTGTAATTTGCATAGCAAATGTATGTGTTAGTATTGTGTGCATGGATTATTTTCAAACTCAAGGGTGGGATAGAAAACGTCCTTTCAACAGCATATCCACTGTATTATTTATTTACCTTCTCCTTGTAAAAACAAATGGTGTTGCATTCTTAGAGCCTTTCAGCCGGGCCAGAGACTGCTCGTTCCCATCATTTCCTGACTCGCCTCCGCTGCCTGAGAAAGGCCAGACACCTTTGGCTTTGGATCCACTTCCTCCCATTCTCAGAGATAAGGCATAGTTAGTCTCAGATTAGAGCGTTCAGTCTGGTTGGTAGCCAGATGCTCAATTGCTTACCAAGGTCAGAACCTGAAAAGTGAAAGTACATAAATAAGTAAATTTCACTGTCTGGTGTCCGAGTGAACTGTTTACTCAGCTGCCAGCTGTTAAGACGTTGTTTGCTTACTGACTGCTGGCTCTATTTTGGTGCACAGAGGACTCTGTTGGCAGAAAATGGCCAAGCTAAACTCAGAAACATCTAAGTATAATCTTGAGAGCTTGAAAGAGAAGGCAACTAGACTTATTTTGGGTATGAGATATTTCAAGAGGCTTCTTCAGTTCTATAAAAAAAATAAATTAATTAAAAAAGGTGGAAAGTCCTTCAGAATTGGTTCTGTCATGGACCTACTATTGATCATATGAGTCATCACATGAGCCAAGGCGCAGAAACAAAATGTGTGGCTCATTCCCATCACTGAGGGTTAAGGTCGAATCTATTGTAAGGCCTTGCCTCAACCCATCATTTGACCCTACTGAGGTCACCTGAAGCAAGGTCTGAGTGGGGATTGAAGCGCTTGGAAAGGGATCTTATGGCTTCATTAAGTCATTGATAACTGGTGTGGTAAGCTCCCACCTCTGTTCAATGATGCCCTCCTTTACTCCTCTCTCAAACCATGTCTTCTTGGTTTAAAATATTAACATGATCATACAAAAAAGAGCGTATTTTGTTCTTTAGGTGCAGGTGTTTCTAAAAGAACCGCGCCCAAAGGGGGAAACCCCCACCATGAGTTCAACACCCGGGACTCTCCATCAATTTTTAATGAGCGCTAAGGAAGCCTCTTGGATGAGAGGTAAAGGTGTCACACCTAAACAAGTCCAGTCGCCTTCCTTTGGAAGGTCTTATGGGTACCATCACCTGGATGGCTGAAAACCTACACAAACACTTAACTATAATAATAATAATAATAATAATAATAATAATAATAATAATATCTCAATTTTATTCGTGTGTGAGACAGTTCCGTCTGTTTTATATCGTTACGTTACACCACGGTTAGCTTCACCGTAAGCTAACCAACGGGCCACAAAAAAGCCGAACCTAAACCCATTAAGTGTCACTCAAAACGCTTGACACCTTACAACAGTCACTTAAAAACACACCCACGGCTTCACAATATATTGTACATCGTCTAATATTTTGCAACGGCGCCCGTTTGATGTGTGGTGACCTACATGTGGCTAATGACTACCGGCTAACGGTACCTGCACAGTTAGGTGAGGTAAGCTAACAGACTGTTAGCTTCCGACTACAGACGCAGGTTAAACAATAGACGAGTCTGCAAACACACTGCTGCTTTATACACGGGATTCTGACAAACATCTTACCTTATGGTACACTAAACCTGACATGTCCTGTCATAACTTTTACTACTAGCTATGTTTAGCTAGCGCTGGCCGTTGCTGTCCGACCGACGATGACGATGGAGATCAGCTGATCTGACCGACTATTAAAGAAAAAACGTCACCAATATTTAACTAAAGAATTTATTCATAAAGGTGCGTTAAATGAATCTTTTTTATGTTTAAAGTGGGTGTTCATATCTACATCTGAATTTAAAAATGTATAGTATGCACACAGTACTGTGAGAAAGTATTTACCCCCATTTCCCATTTCGTTAAAAAAAAAAAAAACCTAACCTAACCCTGATTACTTTCAGACCTGTCGAATCAAAACACAACTTAAACAAGACTTGTTTAACAAAGGGAAGCAGTTTTAAAGATCTGTCCAGAACAGCAACAAAATAATCATTGACGTCTATCAGTCAGGAAAGGGTTATAAAGCCATTTTAAAGCTTTGGGACAGTGGTTAACCTTCCCAGGAGTGGCCAGTGTATCAAAATTAGTCCCAAGAGCATATCTATGCCACAAGAGAACAAAAAAGATCCTATAGATTCCCAAGACTTTTCAGAGGACAGATGAGATGCTTTGGTGTGACCTTAAACAGACCATTCACGCTTGAAAACACTCCAATGTGTCCCAAAACAATACTGCAAAGATCGGGCCAAATTCCTCAATGCCTTTTATCGCAAACAGTTCACTGCCGTTTTTGCTGCCATGGGTGACACAACCAGCTTAGGTAGCAATTACTTTTTCCCCACATAGGACCAGATTGGTTTCGATAGCTGTTTGTGTTGTTTTGTTTTGGCCTTAATAAATATAGTCATCATTAAAAAAAAAAAGGGATGGGGGCATTTTGTATTGAAAAGTGTTAAGGTGGTTCGGGTATCTGTCTTGGATGGCTCCTGGGTGAGTTGGCTCTCTGTTTGCTGCTGGCCCCACAACCCAGCCCTGGATAAGCCTTTGTCTAATATTGAAATGAGCTTATAATCTAAAACATTAAATGTGACAAATACGCAATAAAAAAAAATTAATAAATAATGAAAATTTGAGAGGGGGCAAATGCTTTTTCACAGCACTGCACCTGTAAAAAAAAAAAGAAAAAAATACAAAAACGTAATAGATTTTTTGGTAATTCTTTACTAAACGCAGTGCACATTAGTCACGACATTCTTAAGATTGCTACAACAAGTAAATTTGTGCATAGACTTCCATACAGTGAAAGTGAACAGAGTGACAGAAGACAAACATTTTGTTTTAAAGGACAGAACAAAACAAAGATATAAAGGAATGACAGGAAACTTCCAGTTAAACACATGCAAAGAAATATTCATTCAAGGTTCCAGTCAACCAGGGTGACTTGGGCACTGTTCTCGCAGACATTCATAGTTCCATACAAATGTCCATACATCAGTCACACTCACAAATTGTCAGTGAAATTCAGAGTTGCACCCATCAGGGGTGTAAGAGAGGACATGGCAGACTCGGAGCTTAGGTCAAGTGAAAATCCAAATACCTTACAGCAAGTATGTGTTTAACCCGAGGGTGAGAAGCATCATTATTATGGTGGGTTGTTGAGTGAAGGCAAAGGGGATTAAATGCATTATTTGAAATATTACCAATTTTGGTTTTCTGGAAAAATAACACAGCTGAGGTACAGGATAATCCTATAGTAACCAAAAGCTAAAGACATTACTGTCTCATCTGCCAGTCGTCAATTCTCTCAACTCATTCTCTCAGGCACATCAGACTCTCCAGATGTAAGGCACGTCTCATCTCTCGCATCATCTCACATGCACATTCGCGCTAGCGCTCTCTCTCTCTCGCTCTCATAGTCTCGCGCCCTGTCTCACACTCTCGTTCACCAAGAGGCGTTTAGAGTTGGATTCTCTGGGATCTTTGAATGCATCGATGGCCGGTCAACTTCTGTCGATCGTCCAGCCGAAAGGTGCACGCTAAAGCCCCTCTGAGCGTAGGCATCTCAGCCGGGCGTTGAGCCAGCCAGAGCCTCCTGCATTTTAGTGCGAGCCAACGCGTAGCGCTGCACGATCTGCTTGATATGTTCCTCCTCTTCACGCTGCAGAATCCGCAGGAAGTTCTTTAACTCGGGCATGGAGAAGGCATGCCACTGCAACCGAGAGCGAGAGAGAAGTTAAATTGGTATATCTGAAGGTGAACGATCCATACGTGTTGGATATAGAGCTGTTCATGTTTTACTCACATTGACTTCGCCAGTTTCATTCTCTTTCAGCACAAAACTGAGGACTTTCTCATTCGGTCCAGCGCACAGACGCAGACGAAGGGGACGCTCGGTATCAGACAGCTTACGGATATAAACTGGAGGAGAAAGAAACCATTTAGCGATCACCAAACACATTAAATAAAAAAAGAAACGAAATCACGATTTAATGTTAAAGCAGAATACCTTGGTCGTGACGCTCGCTGCGCTCAAATAGAGCAAACTTGGCGGGATTGTCCACAACGGTGAACTTCTTCAACAAAGCCTCGATGACCTCACGAGCCGAAGTTCGAGAACTTATGTGCAAATGCTTGGACGCGTCCTTCGGCAGGTAGAAAGAGGTGCGCCGCTTCACTCCGCTGGCCCGCCTCCCGCCTGTGTCGTTGCCTCCTTTCTTTGGGGTGGGAACAGACACGGGTCGGGCCAGCTTGAACTGCACCTTTATGAAGCCGGTGTAGGACCCATCCTTGTTCTGTTAAAGGAAAAAAAACAAATATTAAACTAAAAGATAAAAATGCTTTGGAGGGAAAAGCAGGGATTTGTTGTGAAGAATCACTGCTCACCATGTTCATGAACAGATTGCTGTTGATCTGAGCATTGTACTCCTTCACTTTCTGCTGAATGTCCACCACTGTCAGCTCCTGCTTACTCAATTCAATCTGTTCATCCTGGAAGGAACAGAAGAGTTACAGTCTTTAACCACCAGGTGTCAGTGCTCACCTCAAAGAAAAGCAGGGACAAGCCAGAGAGCAGGACAAAACACTGATTAGCAGAGGAAAGGCCCTTTATATGATTGTGTCTTACAGCATTACAGGGATTTTCCCGCTCAAAATGAGCCTTTGAGAGGGTGACTACACAAGACCATGTCCCCGTGACTACGTTTGTCCAGATATAGTGAGGAGTAAAAGTCTGTGGCCACTTACTCAAGAAAAATCTAAGACATTTTCTGCCTTTTTATTTTTTTCTGGACATTTGATAATTAAAACGCATCTTAAGCTCAACTGAATTAAACCCCATTTAAAAACAACTGGTTTAAAAATCACAGTTCTGTTAGTTTCCCTTTGGTGGTTGGCCAAAATCTTTTTGGTCAACGTGGAAAAAAAAAAATTATATGCAGGAAAAACCCTGCATTAGTGTTGAAAAAGCCCAGTGTTCATTTTTAGTGTGTTTTAACAAGGGAGGGAAAAAAAGTTGTAATGTCAGTCAAATTTGATTTAAACAAGTCTTCTGTGTTTTTTTCCTTCAGCAATACTGCTGAAACACGAGAGTAAAAGCTGGTTTTAACTGATGTTCTGCATTTCTAACAGCGAACACCAGTTGCATCAGACTTTCAACTTCCGGACAACGCAGCAAAAGAGGCGAACACAATGATGTCAGCTCTGTCCAATCCAGTTCAGCGGCTCTGATGCCTCCATGTAGGAAGGCTGATGGGAGAAGGGAGGGGGGAGGAAGAGGGAGGAAAAGGGAGGGGATTTGCAACTTGCAGCTGTTTGCAATGATGACTGTGGCCAACGGCTCTGCGCTGCATTCCTCAACTTGGTGTTCATGTAAAAATAGCCACCCCTCACAGGCTCTCACAAGCGGGAGAGACAATGCCCTCCTCTGTTTTGCAGGCACATCCTGTGAAGTCAGCGGCCTCAGCAACCGCAAACTCCCAGTCATGTTTCAGTCATGCACATTTGCCCCCCCAGCAGATGCAGGGCTGCCAGATTAAAAATCAGGTTTTCTTGTGTCTTCCAATTTACACTATAATTATTCATGGTAGGGGTTTTCTCAGGAGTAGTAGCCAATATTGTAGATGCAGGACTGCCAGTAAATGTGAGATTAAAAAACAAATGCGAATTCTTATAGGCTACCTTTTACTTAATTATCTGCTGAACCACACACTGCCTAAGAAAGATTGTTAATTAGACATCCAGCATGTAAAGATCCATAGCTGCAAATGTCTAGGGAGATCCATGGGCCGTAGAGTTAATATGCTGGTGTTAAACAAATCAATAAAGTCAATATGTGGTGGGAGAAAATTATGCACAACTGTGCCTCTGCCGGCTGGCAAAGGGAGAGTCAAATATTTCTACAGTAAACTGCACCCACATCTCACAGGAAAGAAACCCGATACCCATGTGGGTGTGCGTATGACTAAAAGATAAGAAAATGAAGAAATCCAAAACACTCCATGACTCATGTGTGACTGAGAAATTAATGTGAACAACCTGAGAGTCAATGAATGGTGGGTGTTTGGCTGGAAACTTGAGTGCGTCACAGGTTCATCTGTGGGTCTGTGCTTGTTACAACAAGACACATATACACCGGTATGTGTGTGTAATCTAGACGTAACGAGTGCTCGTTTGCATTTTAAAAAGTTCACACAAGTCTTTAACCTGTTTACTTAGAACTAGAGGAACTCCACCCTTGAGCCTTGCAGGCTTGCCAACCATCTAGTCTGCTGGGGTTCCTTTGAGCAAAACAACTCATTCCCAGCAGCATCTACAAAGTAGGACGCCCAGCAACTCATCCCAGAAGTAAAAGAACACAAACACAACTCAATAACAGACCCAACACTGACAGCTAATAAGCAGAAATGGGGAAATAACGCGAGAATACAGTCCTGCTGCGAAACACCCACAGTTTCACTTCCCCTTTATTTTAAAGCTAATGATTTTTATGAAACCTATGTGTTTTTAAACTTGTAAAATTTCTCACCTGCTTAACTGCGGGACTGACAGTATCTTTTCGGATTTTGGGGAAGAAAGATGTCCGGGCGGTGAAGTACTGCTCGAACTCGGAGTCAGAGTCCGAGTCGCTGCAGTAGCCGCTGCTGGTGGAGCTGCCCCAGGTCATCTCAAAGGAGGGAGTTTTATCCGAGCTGCTAGCCGCGGTGGTCATGCTGACTACCGGCATATATCCAATAAGAGAGTCGGGAACCTTTAACTTTACTACGCTGTTACCCCGAATCGCTCTCGATTGAGCTTAATTGGAATTCACTGACTGAACTATGCCTTACAAAAAGTCCTAACCGGCAACACTCGCTAGCTTTTAACGTTAATATTAAATAATCTCGCGCAGGACAAAATACCGCTAAAAATGTCGACGACTATCAACAAGATCTCACGAATCTTCTCCTCAAACTCAGCCTACCAGCCACGTTTCCGACGTACAAACTCTGTGTGAAACAGGATGTGTGCAGGTCCCCGCCCTAGATGCCCCGCTTCCTTCCCCCGAAGAGGCCCCACCCAGGTCCGCTGAGTTTGGAAATACACAAACCGCTTCAGCCGGCAGTGATTGGACAGCACGGGAAATACCAAAGCCCTCTCCTCTCCTCAAAGCCCTGTTTCACCCGTCTTTCTGCCCTTTTTTCCCAGCGTGGGGGTGCTGCTGGTGGACCTTCTGTGTCCCCACGGACCGCTGACCCAGTCATGTGATGCTGGGGCTCGCTGCTAGCATTTTTTAACTTTTGCACTAAATACAAATATTAAAACTGTATTTACCGTGCCAACCTAACGTATCTAACAGTTATGTAGCTTTATTATGTTTTTATGTCTCGTTATTCAGTGTTGATCAATAGAAAATTTAAATGGTGCTGTATTGATTATTTTACTTTCTTAGAAAAATGGGCTCCACAAGATGTAGATAAAAAATATCCCATAACACTGGAGCCACAAGATGTAGATAAAAAATATCCCATAACACTG